TGCCGCCCACGCGTGGCGCAGCGTGTGCTTCTCAGAGAGCTTGACGACGAAGAATTTCTGGAAAACCTGCCTTTTCATGTTGCAAGAAGCCAGAGGACAGGGACTGGTTTAAACACTGCACCTCCCAGAACAAGAACAGGAGGGCAGTTTGGGGAAAAAAGCTGCGAAGACCCCAAAGAACTTTTGTTTGGGGTGTTTACTCATTAATTCATTTTAAAATAGCAGTGAGCTCACTGGACGTCACAGAGCGTTTTCACAGAAGGTCAGCGCCGTCTGCGTGAGGCCCGCGCACCTGTGCAGGCGTCAGTTTGCCCGGGGGGGTGGGGGGTGGGGGCCGGTGCTCCGGGTCATCGCGTGGTGACGTCACAGGCCGCGCAGCCTCGGAGCGCTGCACTGTGCGCGGTGGCGAGAGGCTCCCGGGAACCAGGCCACCGCGGCCCCTGCCGGCTCCCCAGGGCGGCTCTGCTGGTAATGAGGGGCGACAGCTGACTCCCCGGCCTGCAGGCCTCTAACCCTCGTCTCATTCTCAGTGCGTCCAGCACTGCGCTCACCTCGCCTCCCTCACTGAACCCCGGTTTCTGTCCTTGGAGAATCCCAGACTGGCCATCGGCCGTGTCCCCTCCAGGTCTCCCCTACGGTTCAGCACAAGGCTTCATTTAGCTGCCCGCGCGGGGGCTGCAAGGCTTCTCTGTCCTTGGTTTTGGTTTTGGTTTTTCCATTTCTCTTGGAAAACCCCCAGCCAGCCAAACACGCCTGCGCCCCTTTCATCGCCCTCGGGGCTTGGGCCCACCCAGGGGGCTTGTGCCCACCCAGGCGCCTTGGCTCATCGCAGACAGAAGCAGGAGGCCCAGTCTGTCGGGCTGGGGAGGGTGGTGCTTTCCCCCGCCCCAGAGAGGATATGGGCCATGCAGCAAATTCCTACTTCTGCAAACTTCAGGCAGTCCAGCTTTTCTCTGTCAGCTTACAGGTTCCTAGATACAGGGAAATAGCACAGTTCCTAAACCAGGCTCTCGACAGGCAGCCAAAGCAGAGCCCCTCCTTTGGGGGAAAGAGCAAACCACAGCCTTTCCCAGCTAAAGGATGCTATGACTAAAGCCCCTGTGCTAGGACTGCCAAACCCAGAGAGACCCTCCCAGCAGTACATCACTGGGAGGCAGGGAGTCACCTTAGGAGGGTTAACTCAGGATCTGGGACCTGTTAGCAACCTGTGGGCTACTTTTCTAAAACCTTACACATGGTTGCACAAGGATGGCCTCTCTGCCTAAGGATGGCAGCAGCTGCCTTGCTGACGGAGGAGGTATCTAGAATTACAGTGGGGCAAGATATCACCCTTTATACCCCACATCAAATAAATTCTGTTAGGGCTGGTGCCGTGGCTCAATAGGCTAATCCTCCACCTTGCGGCGCCGGCACACCGGGTTCTAGTCCCGGTCGGGGCGCCGGATTCTGTCCTGGTCGCCCCTCTTCCAGGCCAGCTCTCTGCTATGGCCCAGGAGTGCAGTGGAGGATGGCCCAAGTCCTTGGGCCCTGCACCCGCATGGGAGACCAGGAAAAGCACCTGGCTCCTGGCTTCGGATCAGCGCAGTGCGCCGGCCGTGGCGGCCATTGGAGGGTGAACCAACGGCAAAAGGAAGACCTTTCTCTCTGTCTCTCTCTCTCACTGTCCACTCTGCCTGTCAAAAAAATAAAATAAAATAAATAAATAAATAAATAAATTCTGTTAGAGCAAAAGGGCTTTCACTGGCTCACAGATAGTAGGATACTAATGTATCAGGTCCTTCTGGAAAATGCTCAGGTAAAAATAATGCATTGCTCCACTTTAAATCCAGCTACTTTAATGCCAGTTCCAGGGGAAAGTGGTCCCCTCCACTCCTGTACTGAGACTATATAGACTTGATCTATGCCAGCAGAAGGGACCTAAAAGACAGCCCCCTGGCTAACGCAGATGAGGTTTGGTTCACAGACAGAAACAGTTTTGTCAGACGGGACCTGCTTCTCAGGGTATGCAATAGTTATGGCCTGGCACGTTACTGAAGCGTGCTCTGCCCCCAGCAACTTCTGCTCAGTTAGCAGAACTGATCACCTACCCAGAGCTCTAGATCACACAAGGGATTTCTGAGGCCCTAGGAATAACTCGGCACCTTCACTCTGCATGGAGACCTCAGTCTTCTGGTAAGGTAGAAAGAGCCAACCAGATTCTATGGAAAACATCACAAGTATAGAAATGTGTGCTTGGTAAGGAAGGTTAAAAAGGAAAGTGTGGGCAGCCACAGGCAGTCGCCCCTTTTGTTTACACTTAAACATATGGATGGAGACATCCTGGCACAGACAAAAGGCTAAGGAGATTCCAGGAAGAGGCAGGAAGAACCTTATCAGGAACTCTTTGTAACCACAAAAGTCTTGGATATGTAAATCTTTTGTGTGCCTTCTTGTATACAACTGGTCATGTTTAAATACTACTGGATTTGTTGAATAAACGAGCCTTGATCAGGATTTGTCTTGGCTCCATTCTTTGCGTCCTTGTCCCCGCATTCCCACTCTCTGTTTCAGGAAACCCGGTTCTTTGTGCTGCAGGCCGGCACAGGAAAGAGTGTTCTTGGTAATGAAGGTTAGAAGGAAAGAGTTTTTTTAATAAGGAAAGGACATGGTTTGTAAGAATGACTTTATCCTGATGGCTAGTTTACTCTAGACTGGAATGGAAATGATGGAATGTTTCAAGTAAGTTGAAGAGGGTGTGTGGAAGTCACAAAAGGTTATGAAAGAAAGAAATATTGGACATGCTAACTGCTGCTCCGAGAGGTGTCTGTGCCATGCTCCAGGAAGAATGTTGTCTCTGGGTCAGTCAGACTGGACAGGTACAAATCCAAATTCGTACTTTTCCTGGACAAAGCCAAGCACCTCCAGGACCAGGCCAAGCAGGGCTGGGATTTCTGGCCTGACATCTGGTCATGGAAATCCTGGCTATTTCCTCTCCTTTGCCCAAGAACTTCTGTAATCTTGCTGCTTCTCTTTGGACCGTGTGTTTTTAATGCCCTTGTTTGTTTTGTCTCTAACAGACTAAAAGCTGTCGAACTCCAAATGGTTGTCAGACAAGCCTTCCAGCCCATTCCGCTGGACAACCTTGAGCAGCCCTCTGGACCGAGCAGGACAGTCTTTCCAAGGCCACTGTTGCACACCATAAGACAGATAGCAAGAGGAAATACCCAAATCCCCCTCGACGCCCACATGCCAGCTTTGAAGAAGTTACAGAAAACGGAACTCCATCCATAATCCCAAAAAAGAATATTGGGTATTGCCTCTTGAGGGGGGAATGTTAGGTAGGAAGTTAGGTATGAGCTTATGTGTGTGTGACAGGCCTAAAGGGAAGACTATGTCCAGCGTATGCTGCATCTCAAAGTCATCCTGATGGTGTTTCGGGGCAGCCCAGTATTCACATCCTGCCCTGCCCTGCCCTCTTCTACCTGATAACCTGCCAGGTGGGGGGGGGTCCCCACCCCTTCTGCCTGACAAATCTTCCACAATCTCTCAGGTGCAGCCCAGTACCCTGCTCCGGATCCCAATTCTCTAGGGGGTCCTGCCCACCCTTCCTCCTGCCTGATAACATTTGCATCCATAAAGTCCTTTGTTTCAGATAGAAGTTTTTCTATTTACATCCAAAAGCCCTTTGTTCCAAGAGGAGCAGAGGTGGGGAAGCAAGACCCATCTCCTTAAAAACCCCCGGCCTCAGCCCAACAGCGCGCTCAGCCCTCTGCCTCTCTGCTGAGCCACCCACCTGGTCTGGCCAGGTGTATTCTCGCCACTCAACCATGTAACCTTGCCCCCCCCAGCCCCAGTCTCTCAGGCTCTGTCTGAGAGGTGCCCATCCGTCCTTACGGATGTCCCTTCCCTAACAAACCTTGCTATTTTACCTCCCACTACTCTGTCTCACGCCTGAATTCTTTCTTGCGCGAAGACAGAACCCTGCAATTTCTCTGGTAATAGCTCATGTCGGCAGCCCTGGGGAGGGCTTCTTTCTCTGTTGATAAGATTTAATATATTCCCTCTCTCTGTCTGTAACTCTGCCTCTCAAATAAATAAAATATTTGTAAAAAAGGGGGGGCTCTGTGGTATAGCGGGTACACCCGCCTCCTGCAGTGCTGACATCCCATATGGGCACCGGTTCGAGTCCCGGCTGCTCCGCTTCGGATCCAGCTCTCTGCTGTGGCCTGGGAAAGCAGTGAAAGATTGTCCACGTGCTTGGGTCCCTGCACCCACGTGGGAGACCCGAAGAAGCTCCTGGATCCTGGCTTTGGATCGCCCCGTTCTGGCCCTTGGGCCCTCTGAGGAGTGAGTCAGTGAATGGAAGACCTCCCCTCCCCTCCACCCACGCCTCTGCCTCTCTGTAACTCTGCCTTTCAAAAAAAAAAAAAAGAGGGCATATTACTTCATCAACTCGTCCGGTGCGGATGGACCTTTCCTGGACTCACTAAACCACCTGCTAGGACCCGGGTGGACAGGCCAGCTCCCAGGCCGGGAGTCCTCCACTCCTGCGGGCGGCCGGCGGGGGCGCTGTGGTGCGCAAGCGCACCTGGAGGCGCTCTGGCCTCGGAGCGCGGCGGCCGCTTCCGTCTTCCCGGCAGGCTCCGCGCGGCGCGTGCGTGCTCCGTGACCTTCCCGAGTTTTCGGTTCCGCGGGCGCTGGTGCAGCCCGGGCGGTCGTGTGCGCCGAGGTGAGTGCCGGGGCGCACCCCGCGCGCAGCTGTGGGCAGCGCGGACGCGAAGGGGCGGGCCGAGGGGGCGGGAGCGGGCTGAGAGGGCAGGCGGGAGCCCCCCGGCGCCCCTGACCTTGGGGGCCGGCCGCGGTGTGCGTCCCGGGGTCCGCTGCGAGTGGGGCGACGGCCGGTCACGCGCGCAAGGCACCTGTGCCGCCGGGGCTTCTGCCGGCAGCGGTGCGGGCCGAGAGGCGCGCCTTTCCTGGGGGCCTTGGGGCGGGCGGGTGTCCCCTGCCGTGGTCAGCGAGCGTGGGCGGCCGCTGCCCGGCGCCGGGACTGCGTGGCTGCAGGCGGACACCCGCTTGGCCTCTGAGTCGGGATCTGCAGCGGTGGACGGAACGGGCTCGGGGTGAAGGCGGGGCCCTGGCTGTCAGGTGTGGTTTGTCCGGCAGACGGGACAGCCTTGGCTAGAAGGCAAGTCGGGGCGGGTGTGGGGGCAGGAGCGGGGATATTCGCCGTGCGCGAATACGCGGAGGCCGGAGGGAGCCGGCGTCGGGGCGCCCGAGACCGTCTGTGGCCTCTTACCTGCGCCCTTCTCCTGGACACTGCCCCGGCTGTGCCGTGTCCGAACCCCCCCGCCGTGCTAACGACGACACCGCCGCCCCCAGAGTGTGCAGAGTTCTGCGGTCCACTCCCCAGATGCCCGTAACGGCCAGTGCCCGGCTGAAGCCGGAAGCGCGATCCGGGTCTCCGGCGTGGGCGGCAGGAGCACGCTAACCTGAGTCCTCCCGCCTGGCCATCTCTCGGGGTGGGCGCTGTGGCACGTGGTGCCTGGGATCGGTTCCTCCCCCACTGCCTGCCGCCGAGGGGGAGGCCAGGACGCAGCTCCTGGCTCAGCCCCAGCTGTTGAGACGTTCGGGTTGTGAACCACGGGATGGAGATCTGTGTAACTCCACACCAGACTGCTCCTCCGAGGCCGTCTTGGGCCCTGGGGGGCAGCACACCTGCACCAATCTGAAGTCAGGAGCTTCCTCCTGGTCTCCCACGCGGGTGCAGGGGCCCAAGGACTTGGGCCACCTTCTACTGCTTCCCAGGCCACAGCAGAGAGCTGGATCGGAAGTGGAGCAGCTGGTACTGAACCAGCACCCGTATGGGATGCCCGCACTGCAGGGGGCGACGTTACCTGCTACGGCCGTGGCGCCGGCCCTGGGTTCCGTTTCTGTGCCTCTTCTGCAGGTGAGGGAGAGACAGTTCAAGTTGGTGGCAGGTGCAGAGCAGGGTTGGAGCTGGCGGTCGCCGTGGCCTCCTTCCCACTCTTCCCGACTCCCCAGGTTCTCCTTGGCGTGCACAGCCTCTGCCCAGGACACGCACACACACCCAGTTGTCCCGGCTCTGCCGTGTTGCCCGGCTCCGGTGCCTCGTGTGTGCCTGGTTCATGTTTGCTGAGTGAGAGGCTGACCGTGGGACAGGTCGCAGTAATGGAGGACGGCGCTGACCCTTGAGGGGGTTGGGCCTCTGAGAGACCCAGTGAGGGCAGCAGAGGGTCCCCAGAGAAGCTGGGTGAGGGGCAGCGTTCCTGGCCGCAGCCCAGACCGGGCGCAGGCTCGGCAGGTGGCCGGAGTCCTGCAGACCCTCGGGGGTCCCCGAGCACACAGATGGAAACGGAGCGCGATGCACGCAGACTCGCCGAGAACGCGGTTCCCTTTCCCGGTCAAGCCCAGTAACGAAGCAGCTGGTTTCGCTTGTGCAGTCACTGCCGCTCTGTCGCTGGCCGTGGCTGGCCGGGTGTGTGGCCTTTGAGGGACCAGCGCGGCCACCTGGTGTCTCGGCTCTGAGTGCCAGCCCCTGAGCGTGCCGACAGGCACCGACCGGAGTCTGCACCCAGCAGGACTGCTGCTGGTGGCACAGCCGTGGGGGAGGGCAGGCTGGTGGGGGGGCGGCCGGAGACCGGCGCCAGGCCCCGGCGGCGCCGTGGGTGCGGGTCCCACTGGCAGAGGGAGCCACGGTGACCCGCGCTGTGCACTTGCAGATGCTGCAGAGCGTTGTCAAGAGCGTGTGGACACCCATGAGGCCCTACTACACGCAGGTCTACCAGGAGATCTGGATGGGCATGGGGCTCATGAGCTTCATCGTGTACAAGATCCGGAGCGCCGGTGAGTGCCTCGCCCGGCTCCCGTCCGCAAGAGCAGTTCCCCTTGTTCAGATGCGTTTATGTGACAAGCAGAGGTAGAGAGAGGGGTCTTCCATCTGCTGGTTCACGCCCAGATGGCCGCGGTATCCAGGGCCGGGCCGGGGCCTGAGCACGTGGGCCATCTTCCGCTGCTTTCCCAGGCCGCCAGCAGGAGCTGGATTGGAAATGAAGCAGCTGGGACTCGAACCAGCACCCGTATGGCGTGCCGGCATTGTGGGCTTTGCTAAGCGGTCAGGCCACAGCACTGGCCCCGAAGAGTCGCCACCCTCAACTGAAAGACACGGGCGTCAGAGCCACGTGTGGGGCTCTGAGGGCACGAGCAGCATCTGTCCCCTGAGGGACATTCGGGGGCAGCTGCGTCACATCCAAGAAGACCTGGATACCAGGAAGTTGAACCCTTTCTGAGGCGTTGTTCCCGGGACCCGGCCTTGGCCGCAGACGCAGGCTGCCGTGGTCGGACGGGCACCGCTGCCGAGCGGTGCTCATGGTGCCTTCCCCGCGGCCCTGCACGCCTGACGCTTTTCCACGGTGCATTGAGAGGAGGGGCCTTGGTGGAGCAGAGATAAGGCGCGGGGGTACAGAGAGCCGCTGGCCGCAGCTCGTTAGGAGCCCGGGGCGGGGGAGGCCACCCGCGGGCCTGCAGTGGGTGCGCTGCCGCTGTCGCTACCGTAGCCCAGGGTGGGTTTTCACCGTGAGTCGACCACAGGCGTTTTTATGAAACCCTGGAATGACGCGTTGTTTCCTTCCTTTTTAGATAAAAGAAGCAAAGCGATGAAAGGTAAGGTTTCTGTCCCACGAGCTGTGTCCTGCGTGGCTCGGGGACAGTCCAGTACCGCGGGGGTGCGTGGACACCTCGGGGCTCGCGGTTGGCCGTGCCTGCTGGGAGGGACTGGGTACCTGCTTCTCGTGCTCTGAACAGAAGACCCCTGGCACCCCCTCTCCAGCGGGAGACGTCGGGTAGTGGGGAGCGGGGCGCACAGGTTAGCTGCACAGGCACCCCCACTCCCCGCTCCCTTGGTCTTCCCGACGCGGACCCCGTGCCCCCCGTGGGGATAACCCCCGCGCCCCCCGTGTCCTGCGAAGCTGTGTTCACACTTCCCGATTTGTTGAGACGGGCATCGCAGACTAAATTCTGCGCGTCGCATCCTCCTAATGCTGCATCTTTTCCCGAAGGTTCCGGCGCCGCCCACGGCCGTCACTAGCCAGCTGTGCTGGGAGTGTGCGAGGACGCGTCCACCCGCTGCGGCCGCCGCAGCTCGCCCGCGCCCCGGCTGCCCTGCGGCATGAATAAAGCGTCTGTGAGCTGCGCCCCCGCCGTGCGGTGCTGACTCAGTGCCCCCCGCTGCCCCCGGGACCCCAGGGAAACCTGAGGGTCGGAAGGGCGGGTCCCCCGCCGTCACAGGAGCAGGGTGCCGTAGCCGTTCGCTGGGCCTCCAGGGTGGCGGCGGCACCGACGCAGGCCCGGGAGGCAGCGCCCGAGTTGCAGAGTGCTTCAGGATCGGTGCACCAGAGCCGATGGGAGGCAGAGTGACAACTCTGGAACGTTCCGGAAGCAGTCGCTCGTGAGGCTGCGTGAGTGCTGAATGTAACAGCACAGCCAGCGTTGGCTTCAGGTCGGGTGGGTGGGTGTGTCCTGTGCGCATCTGCAGCCGCTACAGCCGAGCAGCCTCGGGGACAGCAGACTCCGGCCTGAACCCCGCTGCCTGAGGGCAGGCCCCTGTCCGGGCGTCCTTCCCCTGGGGGGGCAGGCCCCCCCCTCCAGTGAGTGCTGACTGGGGTCTCCCTGTGAGTGGGCGGAGCCTGCCTCGCTGCAGCACCTGTGGATTGCGAGAGCCTGAGTCAGCAGTCTTAGTGCTGGCCAGGGCTGCGGTGCAGTGGGATGAGCCGCCCCCTGCGGTGCTGGCGCACACACACACACACACACGCACACACACGTGTTGGAGCACCAGTTTGTTTCCTTTTTTTCTTTTTTTTAAGATTTATTATTTTACTTGAAAGAGTTACACAGAGAGAAAAGGAGAGGCAGAGAGAGACAGGTTTTCCACCCACTGGTTCACTCCCCAGATGGCCACAATGGCCGGAGCTGAGCTGATCCGAAGCCAGGAGCTTCTGCCAGGTCTCCCACGTGGGTGCAGGGCCCAAGCACTTGGGCCATCTTCCACTGCTTTCCCAGGCCACAGCAGAGAGCTGGATGGGAGCAGCCAGGGCTGGAACCGGCACCCGTGACCTGTGTGGGATGCGGCACTGCAGGTGGTGCCTTTATCCACTAGGCCACAGCACCGGCCCCCAGTTTGGTTTTTTATTTAAAGATTTGTTTATTTATTTGAAAGTCAGAGTTACCCAGAGAAGGAGAGGCAGAGAGAGAGAGCGAAGGCTTCCATTCGGTGGTTCACTCCCCAACGGCTGGAGCTGCGCCAGTCTGAAGCCAGGAGCCAGCTTCTGGGTCTCCCATGCGGGTGCAGGGACCCAACTCCTGGGTGCAGCCAGGAGTTCAACGAGCGCCCATATGGGATGGCGACACTGCAGGCCAGGGCTGTAACCCACTGCACCACAGCGCCGGCCCCGGAGCACCAGTCTGAATCCCTGCTGCAGCTCCGCTTCTGGTCCAGCTCCCCGCCCGCCTGGTGCTGGGAGGGCAGTGGAACACGTACTCGGGCCCCTGCACCCACGTGAGACCTGGCTGGCGGTCCTGGATCCTGGCTTCAGCCGGGCCCAGCCCTGGCTGTTGGTGGCCATTTGGGGAGTGGCTGGCCCATTCCTGGTTTCACTGTACCAGCTGTGTGCACCTAATCTTGGACAAGCCTATACTACTGGCTAAGCGAGAGGCAGGCGTGTACCAAAGGTGTCGCCGCCGGCGGGGCTGGGGCTGGGGCTGGGGCTGGGGCTGGGGCTGGGGCTGGGGCTGGGGCTGGGACTCTGGGTATCTGAGCTCCTCTACGGGGAAGGTGAGGCTGGGAGCAGGGGGAGGAGCGGCATGTCTGCCCTGGGGCCCCTCGGTGGGGCCTGGGCTGTTGGTCATTGTCCCCTTTACTTCCGTTAGAGTCAGGAGGAGAGCAGGTGTTCGGCAGAGCAACGTGGGTGGCCGCCCAGGACACCCGCATCCCGTGGCAGAGGGCCTGGTGCAGGTCCCAGCTGCCTGGCTTCCAGCCGGCTTCCTGCTGTGCGCTGGGAGGCAGCCATGGTGGTGCCAGTCCCTGTGTCCCTGCCACTCACCTGCGAGACCTGGCCTGCCTGGCCCAGCCCTGGCTGTTGCAGACATCTGGGGAGTGAACCACAAATTGGAAGGTCTTTGTGTTTCTGCCTTTCAAATACAAGTTTAGAACTATCCAGGGAGATGAAAGCTTGCTGCACCTGCTGCCTGCCCTCTCCCCGACCAGTGGTTTTTTTTTTTTTTTTTTTTTTTTTTTGACAGAGTGGACAGTGAGAGAGAGAGAGACAGAGAGAAAGGTCTTCCTTTGCCGTTGGTTCACCCTCCAATGGCCGCCGCGGCCAGCACATCGCGCTGATCCGATGGCAGGAGCCAGGTGCTTCTCCTGGTCTCCCATGGGGTGCAGGGCCCAAGCACTTGGGCCATCCTCCACTGCACTCCCTGGCCACAGCAGAGAGCTGGCCTGGAAGAGGGGCAACCGGGACAGAATCCGGCGCCCCGACTGGGACTAGAACCCGGTGTGCCGGCGCCGCTAGGTGGAGGTTTAGCCTAGTGAGCCGCGGCGCCGGCCGCCAGTGGGGTCTTGAGCAGAGCTGGATGAGGCCCCTATGTTCCCAGAGAAGGGCAGTGTTCTTTTCTTCACAAGAAAGAATTCAGGCGTGAGACAGAGAGTAGTAGGAGGTAAAATAGCAAGGTTTGTTAGGGAAGGGACATCTGTGAGGATGGATGGGCACCTCTCCAGACAGAACCTGAGACTGAGAGAGTGCCCAGTCGCTCAGACTGGGGTGAGTGGGGGCGAGGTTACATGGTTGAGTGGAGAGAGTACACCTGGCCAGGCCAGGTGGGCGGCTCAGCAGAGAGGCTGAGGGCTGAGCGCACTGTCAGGTTGAGGCCAGGGGTTTTTAAGGAGATGTGTCTTGCTTCCCTACCTCTGCTCCTCTTGGAACAAAGGGCTTTTTGGATGTAAATAGAAAAACTTCTGAGTTTTCCCCTGAAGGTATCGGACAGGAGGAAGGCTAGCTGGCACCATCCTGGGTTCAGAGGAAGGGTGAGCAGGACCCCCTGGAGAATGGGGATCCGGAGCAGGGTGTTTGAGATGCAGATACTGGGCTGCACCTGGGAGATTGTGGAAGGTTTGTCAGGCAGAAGGGGCGGGGCCCCCACCTGGCAGGTTATCAGGTAGGAGGGGCGGGGCAGGATGTGAAGGCCGGGCTGCCCTTGAAACATTATCAGGATGACTTTGAGATGCAGATGCAGATGCTGGACAGAGACGCCTTCTCTTCAGGCCTTTATGTCACACACACACACACACACACACACACACACACACACACGTCTGACTTCCTACCTAACACCTGGACTGTGTGCTGCCCAGAACCCACTTGCTGTTCACCAGAAGGAGCAGCTCAGCCCACGTGGTCCAAGCCAGGTCGTGACGGTCCTGTCGGTGCAGCCAGAGCCTGCCACGGGGGAAGGCTGAGTGGGGTGTGTGTGGAAGGACCCCAGCTTGTGGGGTCACGTGCGGCACCTCAGTAAGCTCGGCGCAGCGCTCCGAACGCAGCAGGGGCCCCGCGTGGAACACGGATTCGCTCTTCAGAGCCGGGGTGGTTCTCAGGGCCTACGCAGAACGTTCCTTCATTTGAGCAAACAATCTCTTAGTAGGTGGGTTAGGTTAGTGCTGTTTAAGCCCCAGATGTGCGTCCCCTGGAAGCCGCTGTGGGAGGCTGGGCGCGAAGCCCAGGAGCTTTGAGGAACAGGTGCGGCTAGCCTCAGCCCCGGAAACCACCCAGCTCAGGCACACGCTCTGCACAGGCCCCCTGGTGTCCTGAAGCTCATCACCATCTCCCTGGGTCAAGGATGGCTTCCCGCCCCACCTGGGGAGTCTGAGGACCCTGGGGGACAGACGCTGTCCTCGTCCCTGGCCCCCAGAATCTGCCCAGCCCTGCCTGCCCTCACACCTCTGCTGGCTTCCTCAAGGCAGAGCCAGGACCAGGACTGCTGGGGTTTGTGTCTGCCCAGCGCAGCCTGTGAGCGCTGGACACCATCAGCCGTCCCAACAAGCCCCGTGGGGGAGGCTGCTCCGCCCCTCCCTGCCCCCAGGTGACTGATAGCCCGGCTGTGGCTTGGTGACATCTCGGCCAACTTGCCAGTGTCCTGAAGGAGCCAGGGCCGGGGGGCGGCCAGCTGGCCCCTCCGCCCCACCGAGGGGCTGCTGTGGGGACAGTGAGGAGCCTCCTGCCTGGCAGGCTCAGGTTCTCACTGCTGTTGAGGTGCACAGAGGGAGCCTGTGAGAGCTGCTCTCTGGCCTGTCCAGTGAAGCCAGCGCCCGTGCCCTCCCCTGCCCAGGGCCCCCCACTGCCGCCCCCACGTCCCATCACCCAGGCAGGCTCCCTGGGCCCACAGGACATCTGCCCCAAGTCACGGGCATTGCCGGGTAACGTGTCCCCACACAGCGGTCAAAAGGAGCTGCAGACACTGTGGGTGTTTGCAGATCAAACCCCAAAACGCAGCAGTGGCTGTCAATGTGGGGACCATGGCCGGCGCCGCGGCTCACTAGGCTAATCCTCCGCCTTGCGGCGCCGGCACACCAGGTTCTAGTCCCGGTCGGGGCGCCGGATTCTGTCCCGGTTGCCCCTCTTCCAGGCCAGCTCTCTGCTGTGGCCAGGGAGTGCAGTGGAGGATGGCCCAAGTGCTTGGGCCCTGCACCCCATGGGAGACCAGGAGAAGCACCTGGCTCCTGCCATCGGATCAGCGCGGTGCACCAGCCGCAGTGCGCCGGCCATTGGAGGGTGAACCAACGGCAAAGGAAGACCTTTCTCTCTCTCTCTCACTGTCCACTCTGTCCAAAAAAAAAAAAAAAATGTGGGGACCAGCAGAAAATGCAGACCTGACCCATGGGACATGGGGGGGGGCAGTGCTCAGCTACAAGAGCCCCCGGGAGGTGGTGGCACACCCTCGCACTCAGACCCCCATCCCTGGAGCAGTGGCGGAGCAGAGCCGCTCCCCCGCCACCTGTCCTGATGGAGCCTCCGCCCCCCATCCCCCTGACCTCTGGGTGGTAGGCCCAGCCTCTCCCCTGCTTCCCAGCTCAGGTACAGAGCTGGGCTCCCTTCTGTGAGGAAGGAGGGCAGGAGCGAGGAGGAGAGGGAGAAGTGGAGCA